TTTTTTTTCTAGAGCCTTTTTAGTGGATGCATTCTGGCGCAGTGCACATTTTCAAGTTCTCATTATTTTCGATAGAAAACTGCAGATTTTTGGAGAAACCAACAAAATATGTACGGTCCAGCTCTTTGAGCAAAACACATCCTAGGTTATAGTAAAAAGTCAAAAATTTTCCAGAAAATTCTAAGCGAAACGTTTGCGGAGGGTCTAGAGGGATGCATCCCTTAAATCACTATGAGCATAGTGCAATTGTAGCCCGCGAAGTTTGCATTTTCTAGCATTGAGTTTACAAAGTAAACTTTATTTCATCATTATTTCCCTAAGGACTCCTGTTGCCTGGAGTACAGTCAACTGCTGGCGAAACTCCACTGAAGAACGGGAATCGAGCAGTATTTTGCGCGGTCGGCGGAATGCCGAAGGAATTGTCTAAATTGAAGCGTAATTTTAGGCATAAAACGACTCCTTTCAAGCACATCAGTAGAGCTGGCTGATGTTGTACGAGAACTTCTTTTTCTTTCTTCAAAACGAAGTCTATCAAAAAAGGAGTTTTTCTATTTCATAAAAGCTCAGATGGCTCGCGGTTCTACTTGGCATGTGTGGCCTCGCCTATACTTGCTCTATAAACGCATATCACCTTCTAGGTTTGTTTACTGTTAACTGATGAATAAAAATATGCTTAAAACAATGCAAACTTTGCGCAAAAAACTTTGCAACTTTATAATGTGTCAATTTTCACATGCTCATTTCTGCGCTCGCAGTCAAGTTGTAGCACAATTTACAAGGTTATGAAATGCTTTTTATTAATATCTATTAACTCATCTATTAACATTCACAACTTTATTCAATTTGCTTTTTGCAATTGTAAACTTTTCCTAGCGGTAAATAATGAAGAGGCTTCGTACCGCTTCTTAGCTAAGTCTAATCATCATTATTAGGTCGTAAAAAAGCTGCCCGCCAGTTTTGAGAATTTGCTTCCGTTATCGACTCATTCTCCCATACTTTACATTTGCTTACTTACTTATTAGATATTCAGATGGCCTGTCTTCACTCTTCGTACAGGCCCCAGTATTGTTTCTTTCCCTTTCCGTCTGTCGGTAGCGTCATCCACGATATTGGTATGGAACTGCGCGGCGGCGTTTGCGACGTAGCCCATCTGGTTGCGGGCCTCTTTCGAGGACGTTTTGCTTTGCAAAGGATCCATTACAGAGTTGGACACTATGTCATCTGTCGTCCCTTCTCATTATATGGCCTCCGTCTGTTCTGCCTTAGAGACATATTCCGCTGGATCGTGAAGACAAGACATTGATTTATCTGAACTGTCAAGTCCGAAGAGATGTTGAGTGTCGGTGTAGTTCAGAAGACGTCGTCCAACGCTCTGTGGGCTTCGACCTAGCCACAGTATCAGGCGACGTCTCTGCCTCTCTGCTGCGTAACAGAGCGCAGGGATAACGGGAATTGAAAGGCGGGCTCGGGGCTCTGGGTCCATCAGTTGGTTTTTAGCTTCCTTAAGAGGCCCAAAGGGGGCTCAAGCTTCGCCCTCGCCTTCTGTTTAGTTCTCCTTTTATATCGTTCTCTATGTTCATCCGAAATCCGAGATATGCGTAAGAAGATGTCTCCGTGATTGGAGAGCCTTCTAGTTCCATTCTCTGATTTTTGCCAAAGGTAATTTGCAGTCCTATCCGCTTTCCTACTTCGTTTATTTCTTTCGATATCGTCTCCACTTCAGTGATATTCCTCAGAAGAAAATAATATCATCCACAAAGCGAAAGTCGGAGATGAATCTCTTATCAACTCGTATACCTCTCTCGTTCCAATTCAGTTATTTCATCACCTACTGCAGGGCGGCAGTAAGCAGCTTTGACGACGGGGTCGCCTTGTTGAACTCCCTTCGAAATTGGTATGTTAAGGGGACGATGCAAAAGCTGTACCTATGTGGAGCAGGTCTTGTAACAGTCGGCCAATGTCCTCACGTAGGATGGACCCAATCCTTGGTCGACGAGCGCTGACAGTATGTCATTAGTCTCGACGCTGTCAAACGCCTTTTCATAGCGACGAACGTTAGGACTAGAGATAGGCGGTAATCTCGGCAAACCTCGATTATCCTCGAAACTGTCTGGATGTGATCCATGCAGCTGAATCCCTGGCGAAATTCAGCT